CTGAGAGGAGCCGGGCGGCAGCTCTGCTGCGCAGAGACGCGGGTGACAGCGCCCTGTGTGTGCCCCCCCCGCGAGCTGCGTGGGCTCTCCCCGGCGGGACTCCACACCTCTGGGGCGGATGTTCCACGCCGGAGCGGAGGGGGGGAGAGGGGGCGGCGGCACGCAGGTAACAGGGGCCCGCAGTGGCGGAGCCGTCGCAGCCGCCGCTCCAAGTCTGGCAGGTCCGAACCCGTCGGACGGTCCCTCTGCTCCCTTCGCCGCCCCCGGAGTGGGGCCGGCACCGCGATCCACACACAACTCCTCGGCACTTGGTACGGCCCAGCGCGGGGCATGGCGGGGCCGCGGCGCCGGCGCGGCGGGAGCGCAGCAGGATGTGGGGTGTTGGATATTCAGCGCCGGGACAGGGAGCTAAGGAGGAAAACTCGTTTTACCCAGGTACCGACGGGGCTCATCCCCACAGCGCGGGCAGCAGGCGAGGGAGGGATTCTCCCCCTCTGCTCTGGGGAGATCCCACCTGCAGTGCTACTTCCAGCTCCGGGATCCTGGACACGAGAAGGTCGTGGAGCTGCTGGAGTGAGTCCAGAGGAGGATCGTGAAGATGCTTCGAGAGCTGGAGCCCCTCTGCTTTGGAGACAGGTTGGGAGAGCTGGGGATGTTCAGCCTGGAGAAGAGAAGGCTCCAGGGAGACCTGAAAGCCCTTTTAAGTGCCTAAAGGAGCTCCGAAAGAGCTGGAGAGGGACTTGGGACAAGGGATGAAGGGACAGGACACACAGTAGTGGCTTTAAACTGAAAAAGAGTTAAGATTAGATATTAGGAAAAAATTCTACCCTGCGAGGGACGTGAGGCCCCTGGCACAGGTTGCCCAGAGAAGCTGTGGCTGCCCCATCCCTGGAAGCGTTCAAGGCCAGGTTGGATGGAGCTCTGAGTATCCTGGTCTAATGGAAAGTGTCCCTGCCCATGGCAGGGGGTTGGAACGAGATGATCTTTAGTGTTCCAACCCAAACCATTCTGCAGTTGTTCTTCTTTTAAGGCTGAAAGAGCCAGAAATGCCTATAGAGGTACTGGCTGGAAGTAGCTCTCCATCTGTGGGCCAGGCTCCAGCTGAGCTGTTCCATGAAACCAAACCCATCACTACCATCCCAGTGCCAGGAATAAAAGCATTGGACACATCTAACTAAGCTCCTTCGCAATCAGTTCACACCATGACTCCTCCACTGTTGTGGCTAATCCCAATCTGATTTGAGAGGTGACAGAAAATTCGAGATGTTAACACAAATCCGTGGCAAAAGCAGCCAGTGCAGAGCTGATGGGCAGCAGGAGCTGTTCAGAAATGATGGCAATGCATTTCTTACAATTACCACTGACCAAAGTGTTTTCTGTGGGAATTCTCAAGACTCCATGCAGTGTGGACTCCCCACAAGACAATATGGTCAGTTCAGGCGAAGCTTTAATTCCCATACATACTTTTTTTAGAAAAGTAACATGAAGGATTTGTTTTAACTGAGAGGGTAAAGAGGGTGGTTAACAAAAGGTATTTTGATTAAAGCTGTTAATCATAAGCCACCTTATCACTGCAAGCAGTATTTCTTCTCAGCTTTGCCTATTTAACATCAATAACTTTGACAACACACATTTATTGCCCAACACTTCCTGAACTGAGGGATGCTTCCGGCAGTCCTAAGAAAATGAGAACATTTTTTTTTCTTCTGTAATAGTAAAACAATTCCTTTTTCCCACTGCCCTCTCCAATCAGTATTGGAGCACCCTGGAGTTCAGCTTTTTGTAACAGGCTGCTGCACTTCCAAAGCAACACACTTGGTTCTTCCTCATGTTTGTGATAAAACAACTTAGAGCTTTATTTTCTTTACTTTGTGGTTGCAAAGTACAGCTTTTTTTTTGCTACCTGACCTTCCTGCAGGGATTTGTTCAGTTCTTTGTTCCCCAGAAGCAAGTTATTTGCTCCACCCAGCATCCACAGAGTCTTATTTGTACAACAGGAAGTACCTTGGTCTACCTGAACTCACCCGTGTCTTGCACCAAGACTTCCAACATGTTTTCTGCCTCCTGCTGGGTTTCCACCTCCCTGGGCAGCCTCTTCTAATGTCTAACAACCCTTCCTATGAAGAAATTCTTCCTGATATCCAACCTGAACCTCCCCTGGTGCAGCTTGAGGCTAAATGTCCAATCAGCAGTTGGTCAAGCATTTCATTCTCATTCATGCAGCTGGTTCTGTATAAAATATTTAAACTGCCATGAACCAGCACTCCTGTCTGAGGTAGCAGTTCTCTGCCTCTCACTGCATGGAGCCACTCTTTCTGTATCCTTGGGAATACAACAGCTTTGGAAACACTGGTATACCTAAGGCTGTGTAATAATGTTGCGTAATTCTAAGATACAGAAGACGTTGCTTCATCACAGAAATATATTTCATGAAGAGGGATGAGTTTATCAAGATGTCCCACGTAAAATTTGAATTGGGTCTGTGAGGTGGAGCGACTACTTGTCTTCACGGAGTTTGGGCTTTGCTCATCTATGCCTGGTAATATGCAGGAGCTGCTAATTTCAGACTGGAATTATTGACATAATTCAATTCTGATGAATCATGGTTAATTTAGGGGGAGGGTTAGTCTTCCCCATAGCAGGGAAAGCTCTGAGGCAGTGTTATATAGGAAGGAAGTAAAAACTCGCTTAACAGGGATAAAAGGCTGTTTCACATTCCTCAGAGAAGTTAATAGTTCACCAGCAGTGCCCTGGCTGGAGCTGCTGAGGTCCTTGAGCAGCAGGTATTCCATATATGGAGAAGCACTACAAGCAGGTAATTCCCTGACCTTAACCATGGGAATGAGGAAGGTGTCCCTGTCCATGGCAGGGGGCTGGAACTGGATGATCTTAAAGATCCCTTCCAACCCAAACTATTTTGTGACTCACCTCCCAACAGCACTCTCCAAGCAGCATCTACCACATCCTCCATTTTCCTACTGTAGCTAAAGCATGAAAAAAATAAAGCTCATTTGTCACAGGCCCAAGCAACACATACCTGAATTCTACCACTCCCACAGGAACCTTGCAGTACCTGTCCCTGCAGCCGTGCTCACTTTGTTGCAAAATGCGGAATATGTTAGAATTATCTGAAGTCAGGATGTTCTGTGATGTAAGATCTTTGTATACTTTCAAGCCTAATCAGCAAGAAAGGAGAACTCATCAGTGGGACAGGCAGCAGATGCATCCCTTAGTCAAGGACATCCTGGAAGCAACAAGCTTTAAGGAAGCAGTAAATCAAGTTGTTGATGTCTATGCATACAGTGCTAACTTGGCAAAATACTCAAGGTCCCTGTATACTATAGCTGAACTATCTTCACTGTAATACCAAAAATCATGCCTACAGGTCAAAAAGACCCTGGCCAGGTGCAGACCCTTCCCTGGAGCATGTGTAGAAGTTAGCTGGGATTACGTACTTTGTATAGAAATTAATAATGAATCCTAATGTCCAGAGGAGGCCACCAAGATGATCAGAGGGATGGAGCATCTCTTCTAAAAGGAAAGGCTGAGAGAATTGGGATTGTTTAGCCTGGGAAAGAGATGGCTCCAGGGTGACCTAACTGCGGCTTCCCAGTGCCTGAGGGATCCTACAAGGAAGACACGGACTATTTACAAGGGCCTGGAGTGACAGGACAAGGGGGAATTGCTTCAAACTGACAAAGAGGAGGTTTAGATTGGGTATTAGGAGGAAGTTCTTCCCTGTGAGGGTGGGGAAGCACTAGCACAGGTTGTCCCATCCCTGGAAGTGTCCAAGGCCAGATTGGACGGGGCTTGGAGCAACCTGATCTAGTGGAAGGTGTCCCTGCCCATGGCAGTGGGGTGGAATGAGGTGAGGTTTAAGGTACCTCCAACCCAGGCCATTCTGGGATTCTTTGATCCTAATAGAGGGGCTGTGCTTGGGAAGTGACTAACTCCAAACTTCTGTGTATAAATGACAGTGTGGAAAGTCCGGTGGGGTGTGCTGGATTTGTGGGATACCACCAAGCATCTGGGCTTGGGCAGCTCTGAAATAAATAATCCATGTTGCTCTCAAGTGTGTCATTATTGGCTTGTTGCACACTGGGGAATGAGCCTGATTTTGTTCCCCAGACAGTAACCTGAATGACCACACAGCACCACATGCAGAGCTGTGGGTGTGATGGAGACTGGGCCCCTCACCACAACCTTGCTGCACTGGTATGAAGCTGGTCACTGTCTCACGGTGATCCCACAGCTGCTGGGGCATCCCCCAGCCTGGCTCTCACATCCCCATCCCCTTCAGGAGGATCACAGGATCAGTTAGGTTGGAAAGGACCTCTGCAATCATCGAGTCCAACCGATGACCGAAAGCCACCATGTCAACTTGATCAGAGCACCAAGTGCTATGTCCGGTCTTTCCTTAAACACCTCCAGGGACAGTGACTCCACCATCTCCCTACACAGTCCATACCTAATGGACTTCCATTCCAAATGGAATTCCAAAAGTCCATTCCGAGACCCCCCAGTGCAGCTGCCACAGTACCTATGGTGATGGGCAAGGGAGGTTACATGGGATTTATCCTGAAGGCACCTCTCACAGGCATCCAAATACATCCAAACCCCATAAGTATTGTCAAAGTGCATATATATCAGTGATGCAGGAGAGACCAGAGATACTGTTTTAACTCACAGTGCTTCGAACTGATGGGTGGCAGGAAGGGTGGAATGAAGCAAGCAGAGCCTCAAAAAGGAAAGTTGGATGGCTTGTGCTGCGATTAAGAGCGAGAAGCTGCAGACAGCATCGAAGCAACAGCTGCTAAATGTAAGATGCACTTGAAAGAGTCTCTGTTTTGTTATACATGGAAATGAGCAGGTTATTTTGATTGAGAACACCGCCTTTTCCAAACCGCCGACCCCTCACGGGCAGCGCCAACATGGCGGTGGGCCCCGTCACGTGCCCGCCGGCGGCCGCGCCCCGCGCGCGCGCGGCGCCTCCCCCGTGAGGGAGGCGAGAAAATGGCGGCGGCGGCGGGCGGCGCCTTGAGCGGCGCGTCCCAGGCGAGTGTCCCGGCGGGACGCGCGGGGGCGCGGGCGAGCGGCAGCCGCGGGGCCCCGTCCGGGCCGCGGGGGCGGGGAACGCGCGCCCTGACCGCGCCCCGGCGGCGGGCCGGCCCCTCCCGCCCACCTTTCCCTCCCCTGAGGGGGCGGCGGCGGGGCCGGGCTGGGCGAGGCGGGGGCTGAGGGTGGGTCCGGGCGGGGGGCGTCCGGCGAGGGGGCCGCGGGGTTGCTCAGCGTGGGGACGGTTCACGGCGTGGCGTGGGGTGTATTCCCACAGAGCATACCTTCGTTATTTGTTTTATTGTCATTTTATTACCTTTTTTTCCCATTATTTAATTATTTCTTTCAGTGCCTTCTGCCACATACCAAAATGCCTGTGGGTGGTTAGGCTTGGAGGAAATTTTCCGGGTTTTTGGGGTTTTTTTTGTGGTTTGTACCCTTGGAGTTGTAGCAGGAGGTTGTGAATGGAAAGAATAAGACTAAACTGTATATATTAAAAAAAAAAGCCCCGACTATTTTTAGATAACAGTTATGGTTGTGGATTGTCAGCAATGTTTGTTATTACCATGGTGTTTACCAAAACTTTATAAAACATGAGCAGTGATATTCGTGTGCACTGCGAAGGTAGTTTAACCTTACTGGCATAGACTAGCAGGTATTTTTTTTACTTACAATGTCTGCTTTCACCAAAAAGCAACAAAACTACTGAATACACAGTAGTTTGAAGTTATGTGGCGTCTTGTACTGTTACTGCTTGAATAAACACTTATTTTCAATATAGTTTTCTGTTGTTCTTTGTATTTTGGGCTTGCTTAAATCCATAGTGGTCGTTTAAAGTCACTGTAGTGCGTTTTTTAAAACTTACTCTGTATTACGGAGGTTCTTTAACTTAAAAGTTGCTCGAGAGCATCATTGCAAGGTCTTCATCATTAAAAAGGATTAATTTTACTCCAAATTAGCATCTCATACCTGCTTGAAGTGTGGTGTCAGAGGAGATGCTGGGCAAAATTTTAGGAGCTCTTTCCTGTTTTCATTGTACATCCATTATGGGAACAACTTGGGCAGTGACAGCGTTATTTTTGAAAATGAGACACTCTGAGCTAAAGGATTAACAGCTCTCATGGGGTGAACTCGTGATGGAATAGTTAGCAAGTGGGATATGTTGCACATCTTGCTTATAACACATCCAAAATGTGGCTGAGAATGAAGGAAATGATACATCCAGTGTTGTTTTCTTAGGCTCATTTAACTGGTTGCATAACTTTGCAAAAACTAGCTAGACAAGTTGTAGGTGTAAATATTTTGAAGTGCTTTTAATGTCCTCTGGAGGAGACAGGACTGTTTTTTTGAGGTACTTTTCATTATGTGAAATTAATGTAAAGTGGTTTTAGAAGTGATGCTGGTTTTATTGCAGTTGGAGTAGTAACCTGTGTGTGTGTTAATTTGTGCACTGATGTAGGCAGACAAATGTCATCGATAATGCACAGCACACCTGAATTTTTAACAGCAGATCATACTTCTTCTTTAGTTCTAATAGCAGGGAATCTCTACTTTTAAAGCATCCTTCATTGCCATGAATTTTTTTTGATGGCAAAGTATATGCAAGGATCCAATATGATGATGGGCAAGAGGTCCTTAGGTGACCATATATCTGTTAAAGTTTAGTTCTTGCAGGTACCCAGGAGCTGGAGCATCGTGTGCAGCTCTGCTTGCAGAGTAGTTGTGTTTTGGGAGGTGAAGGTGGAGCCTGGCACTGTAGTGTTCTGCTTCCAGCTGTGTGAGCTGAAACTCCTAATTATGTTCCCGTTTGATGCAGCATCCAATGGGTGGTTTGTTAAGCACTTGGCAAAGCTGCTTTTTTTCCCAGTACGTTGCAGCTCTCTCTGATGATTTCTCTGAGCCCTTCTTTATGATAAGAAGGAAACACATCTTCCCCTCCTCCCTTTTATTAACATCCTTCTAAAAGCAATAAACAGCTACTATGCTGTTTCCTGTTAATTATAGTACTAAGACTGAAAAAGAAACCAAAGTAAACACCCCTCATATATTGAGGTTTGTGATTCATTTCAGTTTTAAAGATGACATTTTGGGAGAGAGATTGTACTCTGCAGCAGAGGGAATTATCAGGCTGGGGAGGATCATCTGAGGTGATTAGATAGGTAGTTTCTTCCTTGTTTCTTGCTGCATTGTGTGAGGTATTGCTGTAAAAAGCATTTTTCAATATATCCTTTCCCTTTCTTTCCAAACAAAACATGCCACCAGTGATTTTTACCAAGAACAGGTTTTGCTTCTTGTCCAGGATCAACCAGCACTTCAGTGCTGGGCTGTGAGGGAGAGGGATATGGCAGTACAGTACGCCTTTGTAGCTGGCTGGAAATCTTGCATGTATTCCTGAGCAACTTTTGATGGATCTTAGATTATAACCACATTTCTCAGTAAATTTCATCAAGCAATAGCAAATACTACAAATTTAGATTAGGTATTAGGAAGAAATTGTGCCCTCTGAGGGTGGTGACTGGCACAGGTTGGCCAGAGAAGCTGTGGCTGCCCCATCCCTGGAAGTGTCCAAGGCCAGGTTGGACGGGGCTTGGAGCAACCTGGGCTAGTGGAAGGTGTCCCTGCCCGTGGCAGGGAGTTGGGGCGAGATGATCTTAAAGGTTTCTTCCAACCCAAATCATTCTGTGATTCTGTAAATCTTATCCATTTGAAAACTGTCTGTTATTTTATCTCAGCAAAGCTTTGATTTTTTTGTGTTTAACGTCAACGCGTGCTGGCCTTGTTTGTGATCACTGTTATCTCCGTCCCGCCAGGCTGGACGGGCGCTGCACAGCGATGGAGAATGAACCAAACACAACAACATGTTCTGCACCTACAACGACTGTCGCCACCACCTCCACCTCCCGGACTGCGCTCCCACAGATCTCCGTCTACAGCGGCTCCGACAGACATGCTGTCCAGGTACTGGGCTGTGGGATGTTCTCCCCTGGCCTGTACAGAGCTCTCAGTACAGGCATTGCACAATACTTTACACAGGATTAACTTTCCAGTCTTAATTGCTGTTGTCTGTCTGCATAGCTGACTTACCATTTTCAGGAGGTGTTGTCTACTGAAGGATGTCAGACCACTTAAGGACAGTGCAGGGTACAGACCTGACTCCCAAATAAGGGAGGGGGGAAATGCTACACTAGAAAGTTTGGTTGGTTCATCATGTGCTAAGGGTGTGGATTATTAACATAAACCTTTACAAAATAAAACTGTTTGAGCAACATTGACTACCCAGAGGTATCTGTATGGGATCCAGCCCCTTCTTGCTTCTCTCGAAATTAGGTCTCCTTGAACTCTGTACAATCTATTTTGTTGGGTTTCGTAATTGGGTCTCTCACACACTACCCTGGTCTCTCAAAAAGCAGAACATGATGTAGGATGTGTTGACAAGCAGCTGAGAGGCTGGGATGTTGTGTTGGGAATGATGCTGTATTGTCAGGCTGTCCTTGAGAGCATGAATATATTGATGCTGACAATGCTCTGTGACTTTAGCAAGAACAGTGATGGAGCAAGTTCAGTATTACAAAACTGGTGTGAAAAGAATTTATTTGGTTGTGTCTCCTTGTAAAGGTAAACTTCAACATCATGTCAGCATGGTGTGTGCTTTGTAATTGTAATTAATTACCTACTGATTCATCACAGGTTATTCAGCAGGCCTTGCATCGTCCTCCTAGCTCAGCTGCTCAGTACCTCCAGCAGATGTATGCAGCCCAACAGCAGCATCTAATGCTGCAGACTGCTGCTCTGCAGCAGCAGCACTTAAGCAGTACCCAATTTCAGAGTCTGGCAACTGTTCCACAGGTGAGAGTGAAGATTGCTGACAAAGAACGGTGTGTTATCTAGAGCAGGGCTACAGTCGTTGTCAAACGTAATAACAGCTTAAGTGCCTGAGCTTAAAGCCTCACCATAATTCACTGTTATGTTCTAATGACATTGTTATTTTAAATTGTATCTTCCTCCAAACAGTTTGGAGGGTTTTGTCTAGTGGTATAGATGCTCCAGTAGGCAACCATTCCATGCTTTATTGCATGCATTATAATGCATCATGTAAATCATCAAGCAGTAATAAAATAAATATTAAAAATAGACTACTTCAATCTTCATCCCATGATTTTCTCTAAATGTTGATGGGGAAAGCAATAAATAGCATTGTATCCTAGTAAAATCAAATAAAAATAATGAACATCTTAGTGTGTTTTGCCTCACATCTGGCTGCATTATAAGTAATAGTAAAATTCAATTGTAACTCTGAGTGTGAAAATGTAGGAGGTAAATGACATTTCATTTCTGAAACACAGCTTTTAACATTAGTGAGCACTGGAGGAGACCCATTTTGAACTCAAGCAGTGGCAGGATTTCCTTTGACCTCAGTTGACCTTAGATTGAGAATATGATTTTGCAGAGAGAGGTGGTTGTTAACGATTTTACACATGGAAATGCTAAAATGGAGTTAAAGACCTCAGGGGAATGGCTGCTTGGTGTCAGAACTGGACTGGCTCTTTTTGGCTCCTGGCTTTTCCTTCTATACCTTTTTCATTAGAGTGTGGTAATATATTGATTTGTCTTTTTTTGTTGTGATGGATTTGTGTGTGGATATACAGTTACTGAGACAGAGCAAAGGAAAGCAAGCTGGGGGAGGCTGAGAGGTTTTGTTATCAGACTGTTCATACAGAAACCTAAATCCCTGTCCCTGTATCATCAGAAGGGCTGGAATAGCCTGCTGTGAAAGACTCTAGATGTGCATACATAATTTACCATTCTAGAATATGAGGGCGTTCTTTACAGCATTTGTAAGGCTTGTTTTATTTTTTTGAGGAGTCTAATTGTAGTAAAAATATGTGAGTTTTAACAATGACAGTTTTCAATGATGTCACATTTTAAGTTCTGAGTGTCATAGGTAGTGAGCTGACCTGTAAGCTCCGTCATTAACAGCTTGATAGACTTTACCTCTGATAGGTTTTGTTCAAGTCTTGATCTGATAGAACCTTCATGCCTGAAATTGGGTAGGAACTCAAGGAATTTAGCACCTTGCAGATAGGATTCCACAGTGCAGAGTGCACTTTGCTGAAAACTATTTCCACTGAGAAAACTATTTTTACTGTTAACTCAGACAAAAGGTAAAGGTAGAGAGGGATATTTCTCGTGGTTTATGCAATAATATGAACAACACTTAAACCCTTTCTGATTTCAATATTTGACACCTATTCTTGCTATTTAGGCAAGCCTGTCAGGTGGGAGGCAATGTACTTCCCCCCCTGGGAGTGTCACTCAGCAGTCAAGCATGTCGCAGACCTCGGTACGTAACTGAACACAGCCCTCCATCCATTCCCAACCCTGCTTGGTTGTTACATGGCTACTGGGAAAACCAGAAAATACGTCAGGATTTAAAACTGTGCGGTTAAAATCGGTATTGCAGAGTAAATTGCAAGGCTCCATAGTAAGCGTTGGGTGCTGTCTGCTATTGTTGCTGGCCAGTGTTGGCTTCCCCAGTCCCAGACCCCTCCTGGTGCTCTGAGGGGCAGCTCCTCACCCCAGAAGCACCAGTGATTGTTCAAGCTCCTGCAGGAGTCACTCCCTGAGCTCTCATACTCTTACTCAATTTCTTATTGGATTTTCCACGTTAGTTTCTTTATTGAGGGCACTACAGTAGATTAAAATCATTTACTGTGTATCAGTGATTAAAGAGCACCGAATCTAAAGAATCCAAGTCAATGCTAACGTGTATTTATGAAACTGATGAAATGTTTATAGCATTCATTCTTTTATTGATTATCATCTTTTATCATGCATCTCTTTCGCACTTTCACTTCCCATAATCTAGGCATGTGCTCAGGTTTCAGTTTTGAGCAGCTCTGTGTTCAGTTCATGTTGTATTTCTTTAAGTGGCATCTTCAGACATATAATTTGCACAGTCTTTACAGTTTTACAGTTGTCTGGCGTTGGATTTGTTAGTCCTGCAGACATCCTGCTTATTAATCACACCCTCGAGCTGTTCATGACTCCAGTGCATAGCTTCAGTGATTTAGCTGTATATTTTTTTAAGCTCTCATAGCTTGGCTTGGCTTACAGTTGTTAGAAGTAAAATCATTCATTCATTAAATTTAGGAGGGAAAGTCTTTAAAGATGTCTGATGTTAAACTAACAGAATAATTGGGCTGGGGTTTTTCAAGGAAATCTTTTAAGTAAAAGAGCTGGGCACTTAACTCTGTTAGACTGGTTAGAAAAGAAAAAGAAAAAAGAAAACCAAACCACAACAGCTTTTTTTTTTTTATTATTTTGAGAAGATGCTACAGAGCAGTTGTTGAGGAACATTTAATATGAAATTAGAGAAAGTTGTAGTCTTCAGTCATTTTTCAATATGCATATGGAAAATGAGGATTTAAAGTCCATATGTGGTGACACAAAGAAGTATCCTGATAAGGTTGCATAACAAGCATAACAGAAGATACCAATCCAGGCAGATAATATAAACATTTAAAAATGCTTCAATATTAAAATTCATGTGTTTTTGTTAAAATATGTGGGGTCATGCTACTTCTTCTGTAAATGTGTGTTTCTATGAGGTATATTTTTCAGACTTCATAATATCATTGTTTATACTCGTAACTGCTCATTATTATTTACTGCAAAGTGGTTGCTTGCAGTTTAAGAACCAAAATGTACAAGCTTGCCAGAATTCAGTTTTGTGACGATTGGGTCAATATATTTGTGATCCCTTTACAGTTCAGAGATCTCAACTGCCCCTGCCATTTTTGTCAAAGGCTTTCTGGCTTTAGACCATAGGATGACTGAATTTCCATGACAGAGGCAATATTTTTGTTTCCTTAGATTAACCTCTCCACCTCTCCCACACCTGCACAGATAATAAGCCGTTCTCAGACCTCCAACACCACCAGCAGCAGCATCACCCAGCAGACGATGTTGCTGGGCAGCACCTCTCCCACCCTGAGTGCAAGCCAGGCTCAAATGTACCTACGAGCTCAGATGGTAAGTTTGGATTACAGTCCTTAAGACTGGCTTAGGTCCAACCCTGTTGTCTCCACAGCTCTGCTTGTTAAATAACGTTTTGACACACTGGAAGATTGAAGTTCTCTTTCTTTATTGTAGTAGATATTGGGCTACTCTCTTGTCTTTGTTTCACTCATTTGTAATATTGCAGGGGAAGTCCTCTTGTGTAACAGATCATAGGTGTATTTATAAATTTCAAAGGTTTTTCTCAACATGTAGAACAAATATTTTAAATTATTTTCCTTTAGTTTTATTTACTTAAAACTACCATGATAGGTTGTTCTTTAAGTAAGTTAATCTAACAGTAAAGTGGTGAATCTTAGAATCTGTGCATCAGTACATGTAAGTTATGTATCTCCTTAAGGTGCTGCATTTCTTTTACAGATTTTAAAAATTTCAGTCTGTTGGCATATATTTTTTTCTTGCTTAACAGCTTATTTTTACTCCTGCGACCACTGTGGCTGCTGTCCAGTCTGACATTCCTGTTGTCTCATCATCCTCCTCATCTTCCTGTCAGTCTGCAGCTACTCAGGTGAGCTTGTGTCAACTTATGGAAGGTCTGTGCAGTAGAGTGGGCCAACACTTAAAGGAAGGAAACATTGTGTGCTTATAAAAACAACTCACCCCAGACCTTAGAGCAGCTGAGCTGCTGGAGGGCTCCTGCCAAACTCAGCTGTTCCTCTCTCCTCTCATGGATATCTCAGGTGGGTCACCTGATCTGTGAGGGTGTGCTGAAGGTTGAGTTGTACTCACAGGGGTAGGGTTGCAGTAAATGCCATCTGCATAGCAGTGAGGAAACTGCTACTCCTGTCTTCAGAACAGGGTTTGAACACTTCCTGTGGTGACATGCTGAGCATGTGAGAAGTATAAACTAGCTGTTCATTACAGGAGTGCTAAATGCTGAGTAAGGAGGGGATCATGTAATCAAAATAGTGGATGGTGGTAATAATTAGTCCTCTTTTTCATGTAAATATGATGTAAATTAGTGTAGAAGTTGTTATCCTTGAAAATAAAATTCTAGCTCAGCAATAGGATTGGAGATCTGGGATCATTCTGTACAGAACCTGGCTGTGATATAACAAACTTCAATGAAAATAATCTCTGCCTGATTTACTTCCAGAAGGCAAACCTGTTGTTTCATGTGACGCTGGAGGTGTCAGGAAAAGATAGATTAATATCACTGTAGAAACAAAGGTCTCAGTTTTGTTAATGGATAACACAGAGCAGATTCTGATCCCACCGACCACCCAAGGTCTGCTTTATGTTGGTGTCTGGAGCTCACTCACAGGCAACTGCACTTGTGCAGTGTCTGTATGAAAATAAAATTACTTTTGCTTAAGATGCTTTGTGTCATTCACTTTGAAGGCACAATAAAAGAAAAAAGTTTTAATTCAAATTAATGAACAATTTCCATTTCTTTTGGAAGTTCAATAAGGAGCAAAAGACTTTTCTGTGTTTTCTTTATTGCCAAAGTAATAAAGATCCCTATCCTTCTCTAAATTTTATAGCTTATGCAGATTTTTAGATTCTTTTAATCACATGGGATGAGAAATATTACTTAATGTGATTTTTTTTTTTTTTTTGCTATTTTTGCCTGATGTTTGTCGTGGATGTTTATATGGTTTGGGTTTCTTCGTGTTTTGCTCCTTTCCCAGGTTCAGAACTTGACGTTGCGCAGTCAGAAGCTGGGTGTGCTGTCAAGTTCCCAGAATGGCCCACCAAAGAGCAGCAGTCAAACCCAGTCATTGTCCCTGTGCCCGAATAAACCCGTCACCATTTCCAAGGGCAGCCAACCAGATCCCTCAGAAAGCAATAGGAAAGGCGAGAGCCCAAGTCCGGAGTGCCGGAGCGCGCCGGTCACACGGACATCCAGCATACATCACTTAATAACACCAGGTAGGGTGAAAACACAGCTACAGGAAACTTATTTTCATTAAAATAATTGCTATGTTACGATTCTGTCGGAGTTCAGCGCTCTCTGACAGAGTTCTTTTAGATATTCCACATGAATAGAGTTTAAATTTTAATAGTAAATTTATTTATTTGTTGGTATTGGATGTTGCACAGGATGTTGACTGAGCAGATGCAGTGATGCAGGAATGTTCTTAAATCACACTACAAGCACAATATGGCAATTGCAATACACAGTTGAATCACAGCACAAACCAAGGCTCTCATTCCTGGTCTCCCTGTATACTTATTGTCAGGCCATGTCATCCCAAATCTCTGGGAAGCGTTATGTGGGCTGAAACCCTGTCAAGCCTCTTGCTCTCATCAAAATCTATTTGTTTGTGGTTGGTTTGGTTTTTTCTGTCTTGTCTGTGTCATCAGAATATTCCTCTATCAAGTACCTTCATAAATCCATAGGTAATAATGCTCAGAATCTTAGTATTTTGTATTAAGAGATAAATGAAAATAACCTGCACTTGGTTAGATAAGCACTTCCATTGCATGCAGCTTATTTGCATCTTGGCATCCTTATTTTGAAAGAGTGAGGGTAGTTTAGACAATTGTTCTGAATTCTGTGGAATTCAGCTTGGCTGATGGCAGCTTTTAGAGAAAGAGTGGGATTTGGAGGCAGACATTCTGGAGGTACTGAGCCCTAATGCTCTCAGAGCTCAGTTTGGTAAGGAAAAAATCCATCCTTAGTAGCAGAATAAATCATAAAAATCCTACATAAATGAGTTTTTTCTCAAGTGGACAAGACAAAGCAAGAAGAGGTTTGGATGTGGAGGACAATATGTGTGTGTGCTGTAAGGAATTACTAGTGAGTTACTGGTTCCCTTTAAGGTGGTATCTCTGGAAGCTGCACTATTTTTAGATTGTACCTCTCAGTTTGTGTATTCAAGTTCAGGCAAATACTTTCAGTGGTTTAAATTTATACTGAATTCTTGGAATTTTAGATAATACTATTCTTAGAGACTAAATAAACTTTTAACTTAGCAGTTATCAGCAAATCCTGATGATTGTGACATGCTTATAATTTCTATTCCAGTCTGTTTCAAAGCAAAGGTTTAAATCCTTTAAAGTTGCATGAAATTCTTGAATAAGCTGGATCAACTTAAATAGATAAACATAATAAACATAAGCTTAAATAGGCTGGATCAATAGTAATCTTAGAACTAGCTCCAAAAAGATAAGTTTATGTACTTTTATCTAGAGAGTACATATATGTAAAAAGCATGGCTACGTTTCTTTATTCATTGCTGCATTTTCCTTTGGGGATGGATATATTCTCCTAATAAATTGTTCTTGTGTACTATGTGCTATCAAAGAAGATATTTCTAAACATGTATCTTAAGTGTTTGAAAAATTGTGCTGATCTTTAAAGCGAAAACTTTTTAAAGTATTTTATAATGTTTTCAGGATTTGAAGAAATAAATACTAATTGTCAGGTGTGGTTTTTTTTTTCCTCTCACAGCTTCATATTCTCCATTGCAACCTCATTCTCTAGTAAAGCATCAGCAGATCCCACTTCATTCACCACCTCCAAAGATTTCCCATCATCAGCTGATATTGCAGCAGCAGCAGCAAGTCCAGCCGATCGCACTCCAGACTCCTTCGGGCCAGGAGCCGCCTCCATCCCAGCACTGTCTGCCCCTCCCGAGCCACGGGCTTCCTCCGGCTCCCAGCAGTGTCCCGTCCCACTGCTCGCCGATCCACATCCATCCTCCGCCTCTGACGCTCTCTCCCAGCCCATCCCAGTCAGCGCAGCAGTCCGTGGTGGTGTCCCCTCCGCCGTCGCACTCCCCGAGTCAGTCCCCCACCATAATTATTCACCCCCAAGCCCTTATCCAGTCCCAGGCGAACTCCCTGGTGCCGGCGGCGCTGCAGCCGGAGCCGGCGGCTCCTCCGCCCGCTCCCAGCACCCCGGTGCGCCCGGTGGCGCAGCCGCTCAACCTCCCGCCGCACCTCCCGCTGCCGCCCTCGCCCGCCGTGCACATCGGGGCGGTGGAGCAGCCCGGCCTGGTGTCCCCGGGACAGCAGCTCGTGCCCTCCACGCCACACCAGCAATATCCCGCCCTGCAGTCCGCTCCCATCCCTCTGGCTGCTCCTCCCCAGCTCTCGGCATCCTCCACCCAGATTCAGCCGCTGCCCTTGCAGTCTGTGCAGTCTTTACAAGTGCAGCCTGAAATTCTGTCCCAGGGGCAGGTTCTGGTTCAAAACACTTTGGTTTCTGAGGAAGAACTTCCTGCTGCAGAAGCTCTGGTCCAGCTGCCATTTCAAACTCTTCCACCACCACAGACTGTCGCAGTAAATCTGCAGGTGCAGCCATCGGTTCCCATTGAAACTCCAGTGGTAAGTGGTAACATTACATCCTTTATCCTGGGCTTCTCCAGAGCTGTGACTCTGGACCATTGACTTCAGAGGGAGCTAAGCCAGGTGCTAGACAGAGGACAAGAAGAAAGCTATTGACTACAGAAATGAGTTTTAAGGAAACAATAGACATTTTTCCTCTGATTTATTTTTTGTTGGCTTTTTGTAATGGATCATCAGTCAAGAATATCAACCAGGAATCATAGAAGTGCAAATATGGAACTTGGAATCTTATCTTTTAGTGAAATTGCAGTATGTTTAAAGTTAAAAAAGTAAATATATGTTAACGATTATGTTAAAATGAACTTTTATAAATGTACCATATGGACTGTAAGCTCTTACCTCTATCTTAATACAAATATAGGCATTCCAAATTTTGAGTAAGAGAAGCATCTCTGTACTAAATGTGGAGGTGTGTAGCAGATTATTAAGATAATAGGGTTCTGAATAATTATTTTTATACTAACATAGCAAATATCCTCATCATAAAAGAACAGGGCAATTTTGATGCTGTTTTGGTAACCCCCAGCACTGCCATTTAATTTGGTTCAGTGTTAGTCTCAGATGTCTGCAGTTTATAACTGCAGGTTTTGGCTTCAGTCACTGACCTAAAATCATGTACAGTGAAATAAAATGATGTGCAAATAATTCATTTAAGATGGCATCGAGATTAATTTGAGCAAAAGAATCAACAGGTCCTGTTGGCTTTTTTTGGGCTATCAACACGTTAAGGAAGGAGGTATGGTGTTCATTTTTAACTTATATTAAGAGTTAATAATCTCAACTGTGATATTTCATGTAGAAATCAGGCAAAAGAGTATAAACCAGGTTTGCTTTTGACAAGGCGGTGTTTTACATTTTAATCTGCTCAACTGACTCAGTAATTCATGTAAATTTAATAGTTTTGAGGAAACTACTTTAGAATCTCTTAAACACTAATGCTTGATAGTCTTGGTGTACTCTTCTGAAATACTGAGTTTGATTATGCTGCTGAACAAGTTAGACAACAATTTGCAGTCTTGTCATTAAACCTGTGTTTTGTAGATGTGTTTAAGTAGCATCAAATATGTGTGTAAATAAAAATACAGTTAACTATACGGATCAAAAAAGTCAAATTCTCTGGTCTCTTTATATTTTGCTATTTGTAACAAAATACTTTAATATTGCTCTCATAGACATTGTGATGTCCTCAAAGTTCACTGTTTGGTGTGCAGTTTGGAAACTAGTATTTTATTAGATTAGCATACTTGAACTGGTAATTTATTTTAAAAACTGTATTTATGCAGCTCTTTTAAGGTATTAGGATAGAATGGAAATCTCTCTAAAGCAATAGTTTGTTGGATGCAGATTTACCAAGTGGAGAATGTGTGTGAAGAAGAGATGCCCGAGGACTCGGATTGTGTGCACATGGCAAGGACACCTACACCACCCACCTTGTCTCCACCAGCCATAACCTTGGGGAATGGAGAGGCCCTTAATTCAGATGATCCTTTGTCAGGTGAGGACTGATGTCCAACTAACATATGGATTTGTGATTTGTGTAAGTAATTAATGGCCAACTATGCTTATGGTCAGTAGATATTGAGTAAAGGAAAATGTTTGTGTGAGGAGTGTGTGTTTGTGGAATATATAGTCTGTCTAGAGAAACAATCTTGTTTTAGGGGGAAAATCTATAAATTGTAGGGAAGAGCCTGTTAGGTGGTGCAGAAATGGGTCTATCACCTCTTATTTCTAGAATTCTGAGCCAGTGGTTGGACATCAGTGATAAAAACATAACATACTTGTTATCTTTTTCAGAACACGGGGGACTGCCTTCAGTGACATCATCAGTCAGTGCCTCAGTAATTAAATCTCCATCTGATCCTTCACATGCCTCTATTCCACCACCACCTCTTTTGCTTCCAGCAGCAACAACAAGGAGCAACAGCACCTCAATGCCCAACAGCATTCCTAGCCTAGAAAATAAACCTCCACAGGCTATTGTTAAACCCCAGATCCTGACCCATGTCATCGAAGGCTTTGTGATTCAGGAGGGGTTGGAGCCATTCCCTGTAAGTGTAGAAGTTGCTAAGAATTTTTTACTACTGATCTTTCAAACAAACTGTTTGTAAGGATGATATTTGTGGCTAATAGGTATTTAGATCCTGAATTATTTTTCAGACGTTGGTTTTGATCTTTTGTCTACTGATTGGTGAGTTGAGTAGTAGGTTATATCTGGAGATAAATACAGAGAGTGATTTTAGGCTGCCATTTGCAGTAACATTTTTACATTTGTCTGTCTCCAAGATCCCTCAATTTTAGTGATACCTTAATTTAAACCTCAGAGCTGAGTCTGTGTTAAAATTCCAAAATGTTAAAAATTGTTATTTAAAGCACTGGCAAACTCCTTGGGGGGCTAGGTGTGATTAGTGCTGTGCCTGGTTAAGAATTACTGTTGAAAATTTTAAATCCACAAATGGGCAATTTAAAACCTGCCTTATTAACTAATTTAATGTGTATCTCATTTCACCATTCCTTCATTTGTGTAGATATAATGTGTTTCTTCCTTTGTTAAATGTAATTGCAAAGTGTGCAGAGCTGAGTCTTTTATTTGTTAGAGAAAGGGTATTTAGAGCTTTGGCACCACATAATGATTCATGGATAGGGAGTAGAAACTGGTCATCTGCTCGGGTACAACTGCTAAGTCACAAATACCGTTTTTAGTTATTCCCTGTTGCTTTGCTTTTATTGCAACAGGTCAGTCGTTCATCTTTGCTGGTGGAACAGCCTGCAGAAAAAAGGTTGCTGGTGGAGGGTCAGATCATGAGTGTTGTGTGTGTGGAGTCAGACCTGCAGAACACGAAACACGCAGACAACTCATCGGACACAGAGATCGAGGATATGATTGCAGAAGGTTTGTGGGTTTTGTTTTCCCCTTCAGCTTTGTGTGTAGTACAGAATCCCATCCTGTCTGTACTTCTGGAATCTTCCTCCAGTCTTTACACTGTCTTTAATATAAACTATTTTCAAATGTTTTTTGCTCACTACACACCAACACAAATGTCAAGGCATTATGCACTTGTCCTGCTTAGAATACCGTGGTCTCCAGCACACCTCATGAGCTAAATTGAGTTCCCCATGCAGTGTCCAACACAATCATCATCATGGACTTTTTAGAACTCAGCAGTCAACTATTTTGGATGTGTAACACCACTGTTATTGTTCAAACCCACATGTAGATAGCCCTGTGTGTGTGCTGTGAAATGGAAATCAAACTGTGGCCTGCCCCAGAAAAGCCAAGTTATTCTGTAAACATACATTTTTGGATAAATTCATCCAAGATTTGAACGTTCAGAATTTTTTAGCCACCTCTGGATTGTCTCTTCCACAACTTGAGTCTTTGTTGCACCAGAGCTGGTTTTGGTGATCTGTTTAAATTTGTCTTAATGCATCTCTTTCTTTCATTCTCTTAAAATAGTTCTTTTCCCACTTTAATATAAAAACTGCAGTGAGCAGAGTAAGAAGGGACAAATCCAGTGCCTGCTGCTGCCCCAGGTCTGCATCAGGGAAGCTTGGTTTAGAAAGCACTCTGAATTGAAGCAGGGTGTTTGTTGGTAGTGAAGACAAGTAAACATGGCTGGAATTTTTGATTAAGGATGATTTACTTTGCTACTCAGGCAATATGTATCTCCACTTAAAATTAAGAATATATTTTTACTTATAGCACTGAATTTTAGTAGGAGCTGGTTTAGCTTGGAAGCACAGCTCTGAAAGGAAATATTGATAGATTGTAGCCCTCCTACTTGTTGATACAACAGCAGTGCAAAGTCAGAAACTGTGAAAACAGTGCCTGAAAATCCATAAACCAGGGTTTCCTAGGTTGTGGCTGATGATATGATTGCATTTACTAGGATGTCTCTGGATAGTCCAGGGCCCTTCTTCATTTTGCAGTAACAACCTAATTTAGGCTATGGCAGATATTTGAAGTGCTTTACTTTGTGACTTTCTTTTGATTATGTTGTAATAGTTGTAATTCTACACAGAAAAATGAAGAAACAATTTTTAGAGTCCTTTTTTAAAGTATATTACACTATATTCTACTACAAGATAATCTGAGGCCCATACCTTATCTTTCACAAACCTTCACATAGGCATGTCAAACTAAATTTTAGAAGGCAAACATCTGGCACATTAATAGTGAAGAGTTGCAGTGGGACTGGAAATTTTCTATATCTTTAATTGAGTTTAAAATTGCTGTTGATTTTTGTATCATCTCCCAGTGAGGGGCTTACATTTAACCAGTTCTTTGAGAGGGAAGTCTGGTGACATGAAACCATCAAGCACATCAAAAAAGGTCATCTGGATTGTTTGACTTGTTTGGCATTCTTTGGTTCTTTTGCAGCTCAGTGGAGTTATACTGATTTTCTACATAAAAATGAGACCTGTAAATCTCTTGTCTACTGATTGTGCTTAGTAAATTGATGTTAAATAAACTTTCTTGATCAAAAGTATCGCTTTTTTTTAATATCTTATTTCACCCAATATATTTCAAACAAAATAAACTTTTTGCCCTCTGGTTTATCTTCTAGAATGTTTGAAGCTCTGTTTGCAATAGTTATTTTGCCCTTAATTTGTTACACTAGATGTTAATTCAGTTTTCTTTTCAGTATGAACATTATGCTGTTTCTGAGATTTCAAACAGCTTGTCTGTTTTATGGAATTCCTCAAACATTCATGGATTTGCTTTTAGTTATTGTTCCTGACAGCTGGTGTTAAGTTTATGTACAAAAGTTTTAACTACTCATGAGATGAACTAGTAGGAAACATCCAACATCAAGATGCATCCACATATGCAGAAGTTGAGCAAAGATTTTCTTGTAGTAAACGAGGATATGATTGTGTTTGTGGTAGAAACACCCTTCAAATACGCTTTTTGGTGTTTCCAGCTCTTTGCTGCCCTCGTGCTTTTTGTGGAGCAGGAAAAGAGCCACCTCATCTCACCAGTAACAGAAAAATATTCTGTACCAGGAGGCTACAAATCAGCAGATGCCATAATCCTCTTTTTTCTTACATGCAGCTTATCTTTTTCATAGATTCAGTATTCCGTAGATTCAAGATTCAGTGTTTTCTTTGCTTTCATGTGTCCCTTTGGTTGTAGCAGTTGCTTATTCAAAGAGGGTATTTAAAAAGTTGCTGCCTTATGTCATTACAGGAGAGCTTGAATTTAGACTGTGGAAGACCTGATTCTCTTAATGAACTCTTTATAAAGTAATTTATGAAGACTGTAACTCTGTTTAACTGTTTGCTAAGTTTGAGGACATACTTGCTCATGGATGGCTTGAAATACAGCAAAAAACTGATTAAATTCATTGCATAAGTTAATTGAAGGTTCAGTAAGGTTCAGTTTGCTCAAGATCTTTTCCACAGAGAATGAAATCTACAGCTTGCTCAGCTTTGCATAATCGTCTGCTAATCAAAGGATTTAATTAAATGTGTTAGATATTTGAAAATCTTTTACCTCCCTGCTTGAGGTGAGAAATGTGAACATAATTCATGTCATTGAAACTCACTTCTTTGTACCTCACTCCTTTCTTTAGAGGGACTGGATGAAATTGAAAATGAACTTCTGAAGTGTGAATTTTGTGGAAAAATGGGGTATCCCAATAAGTTTCTACGATCAAAAAGATTCTGCTCCACATCCTGTGCCAAAAGGTAACTCTGTCTAGTTATTGCTTATTGTTAAGTGGTTAATGGATTAACCTCTCTTGGTTAAGAGAGGAGGAATTCCCAGTCAACATCTGAATATAAAGTCTTCCATCATTACAGCTGGAAAGTTGACATTTAATCCCAGATGTTTTAGAAATGGGGAATAGTTTCCCATTTCTAGTCACTGCTTAGCTCTTTTTTTGCATTCATGTGCCTGGAGATGACCTTTCTCTTTGTGTCTGCTACATTCCCATTTTAAGTAGTGGGAGTTTATATTTTTCATTTGGTACTTGTTGGGACACCACTAGTGAAATAAATTTAAGAAAGGGTTTGGTCCCTTAATCTTAACATGGGATTTTTACCACCATCCTCTTTTGACTGGGTATCAGCCAGGTAGAGAAAATGGAACCAAAATATGCAGTGTGATTTTAGGTTTTTAGTGGATATTTCGGAGAAGGAAAACCATATTATGTGATAAAATGCAAAGGTATTTCTATCATGGAAACATTTTAAAAATGGGAAGGACAGACATCTTCCAGGGATGATCTAGGTGTACTTGATCCTGCATCAAGATGAGGGGCTTGATTAAGTGGCCTTTGAGGTACCTTTCTCTTTTATTGCTGTGACAGCTGTTGTTTTAATTAAGCAGCATTTCTGCAACACTGTGATTTTATGGTTACTTGATTGAATTCAGTCCAAAAAAACCATTAGTGCATTATTGAATATATCTTACTTCTTTAGGCACAGCCTTAGTTGCACTAAGAAATTTGGGCTGTTTACATCAGACAAGACCAGTCGTTGGAATCGGAAGTCAGATAGCCAAAGTCTTGGGCGACGCGGGCGTCGGCCGAGCGGCCCTGAGGGGGCGTCACGAGAGCATTTTCTTAGACAGGTCTGTGGAATATTTGCTTAAAACTATGGCATTGCTTTGGGAATTGCAAATAAAGCCTAATACCGTAGTGTATTTGTACTGCGTTTTCCAGCTTCCAATTACTTATCCATCTGCAGAAGAGGAGCTGGCTCCTCACGAAGACGCTGTTCCGACGGCCATGACCACGCGGCTGCGGAGGCAGAGTGAGAGGGAGAGGGAACGGGAGCTGAGGGAGCTGAGGATCCGCAAAATGCCAGAGAGCATCGACCTGTTGCCAGTGGTGCAAACTGACCCCTCAGTGTGGACTGTGGATGAAGTCTGGGCCTTTATCCATTCTTTGCCTGGTATGTTATGTGCAGTAATCGCTCTCTTGTTCTTTAACAGTGAAGTTCCTTGCGTTACAGCATCCCTGTGATGAGGAGGTGATGTGGTTACAGCACTGGTGTACTCCATAGTTGCTCATAGAGACTGGAATATGATTTGTTTCCTCTTGCTTGTTCCTTCAGCACAAATCACATGTTGATAGAACTAGTCCCACTTCTGCTGTTGCATCCCAGCTGATGAAGTTTAGAGCTGTTCCTTCCTTCAGTCTGACTTCTCTCAAGAGGTCAGTAGAGAGGTCAGACACACTTGCTCTTTGTTTTCTCTTCCCTCCTCACTTGCTGGTTATTCAGTAGAAAAAGGAAGAGCAGTGTTATTTCCCTTGATACAACTGATAGAACTTGATACAAGTTTGAAAGACCTATCCTGATACAAGTCATTAAAAAAGAATAAGCAAGTTGCTTCTATAAGGTTAAAGTTTATTTTGCATAGCTTTGCTCAGAGAACTCCTGCCTAGAGATTCTGCTTACTGGTAGGCACAGTTTGTTCTCAGAAAAAACAATCTGTTTTCTCCTTATTTACAAACCTTTTCTTTTAGCTAGATATTCACAGTTACCTTTATGTCATCTTTGGGTTATTTGACATTTATTTATCATTTCCTAACTATCATGAGCTTTAAAGCTTCACTCCCCACCTTTTCCCAAGGATGCCATTCTGTCTGATCAGATGCTGTAATCCCTCCAGGTAACAGCAGGTCTCCACAGTAGCAGTCATACCAGAATTTTTATTCCTTACCCATTAAAACATAGGTTAACTTTGTTCCTAATTTTCTGCTTTTTCTGGGATGCTAAACAATTTTTCTGTGTATCCCATTATGCTAATAACCTGTAAGGAATATATCTTCATTGCTAAGTCATACACATGGGTTATCAAGGATAATCTTTTACAGGTCAGGCAAAGAATGGAGTAAGGAGTTGTCTTAAATCAGCAAAAGTCATCCTTGAGGTACTTTTCTTCTGATAGTTTATTGCAGTTGAGTTACATTATCTGCTTCTGGGAACCTGCAGGGTTGTCTGTAAAAACAGTCAAAGCTCCTTAGGTTGGACATGGTCATTCGTGTTTCTGTAGTTGAGCTGTGTTGGTGGAATACAGTTATATCAGTCTTGTTTTGAGCTACTGTTTTTATGGATTTGAGGCTCCAGGTAATCCAGTAACTGATCCCAGGCTCTGAATGAAGGGCAGCTCCTGTCCTAGAGTAATTGAAGTGGCACATGAGCACAATTCACTTGCAAGTATGAAACAAAAAATGTTATTCTTAAAATGCAGTTTCTGTTTTGAAACATTACTTTTAGAATATTTCACCAGCAGCTGGAATTAGGGTGGCTTTGTATTATATAAACAAGATAATCTTTGATTTTAAATTAACTTTACACTTCTCTATACTTAATGAAAATTTATTGTATTTACTCGTTCTCATCTATGTGAAGGCTTAGTTTCTCTAATACTTTTTTAAAAAGTTCTTTAAACTGTATTATATTCACAACTGGCCAGAATTATTATTGTTACATCTACAGCTACATTCACGTTTATTGACAGTTTTGGAGTTTATTCTGTTCAATATATTCTCAATTTACTCTCTTGAAAAAATAGTTTTTCATATGCTGTCAGAGTTGAATAATATGAAAAATAATAGAATTGATTTTCATTATGCTGGTTTATATTATGTATCTCTTTGGTGCAGTCCCTGCAGACCATCTGCCATGTTGTAGGAGATGGTGATTTGTCACCTTTCCACAAACATCAGGGACATCTGTTCTGGGTTACAGCTTTCTGTGTAGTCTGTAGCTGAAGATCTAACTGAGCTCTTCTGGAGCCTTTTGGAGAAATGAAGATTGTAGGACACTTCTGCTGTTACCTCTTTCTTCTGGGAGAAGAGACAGCCACAGTTTAAGCACAATTTTCTCCTTTCTTTCTTCAGTTGCAAGATAAATGGCCCTTCACTTGCTTCCCATCCTTTTTTTATTTGGTCGAGTTATTGCACAACAAACAGTTGCAAAAGTGCTTAAGAGTACCCAGATGTGCTTGGATTAGGGAACTGAAATACATTCAGCTTCCATCCTCTGCTTTTCCAGAATGACTTTGATAAAAAGTATTTCAGAAGCTGCATGGAAATTCTTTGTGTCCTGCTTAAAGGAAAAAGCCTGCAACAACATCCAGTTATCTGTTTGAATAGGACCAGTTTTGTTCTGAAATGCAGGAATTTCTCTTGATCTCTCAGATGCTTCATAAATGCTGTGGTCTGACAATCACAATGTCATTAAGTCAGACATGCCATGGTACCTTTCACGGGAATACTCAATATTTGACTTACAGGTGTTTTATCTGTTGTCAGCACTTCAACAGGAAAACCTTTATGATGATGATGTAGTTAATTGTTGCATGAGGTCTGTTTAACAAATTATTAAGAAGAAAAGTCGTGCTTTGTTCTTTGTTTAAAGCCAACCTTTCCCAACCTTGAATGTTATGACCTTTACACAGTAACAGTCCAAATTAATTCAAGTTTGGATGTCAATACTTCCTTCCATGTTTCCTTTCCATTTATCTTGTACACATTTGTAAATCCATCAGGAAATTAGACTGTCTGTTCTTGATAGAGTTTAAATCTGAACACACAAGAGGACATGACATTAATTGCTCTCATCTAGGTAGAAGAGGAGTTCTTCAGAGTAATTTCATATCTCTGTAATAGTATACATTTAAAATGGGAAAATGTAGAAATGCAAAAAAATAGGCTTAACTGAGGAATAATTGAATGCAGAAATGGAAGGTGGAGCACAAACTAAAGTGTGTCTGAAAGGCTCTGAGACAGATGGAGAGACCACTGGACTGAGAACACAAATATCTTTAAAACCATGAAAAACATGGCTAAGGGGAAAGAAGCTTCAAATAAACAGCTGACAATGGATGCTCTCTTCACATCGTCCATCTAACAGAGCTACCATGGACTCAGACACATAATTGGCTGTTTCTGCTTAACAGATGTCCAGAACATCTTTGGAGAAACCTCTGTGTCCACAGTGTTCTTCAGTGGAAAAGGGCCCTCAATTACTTGGGGCAGTCCAATCCATGGAAGAGTCTTTTGTCTCATGTTGCAAACCTCAGTAACCTGAGACCACGTTATTTCATGTTCAGAGTTTAACATGGAAAAAAGATCCAGCTAGTTTAAAGTTGTACTTGTGAAATGAGTTACTGCCCTGTATAGATGACAGATATCTTCATGAGATGGTTGTGCTAAAGCCCATAAATCAAAACTTTGTTTCCTCAACCCAGTGGTGTAACACAAATGGACTTAACACCTTTTGGAAATGGTAGCTATGTGGATGTTCTCCTTGAGTTGCACATAGCAGTAGAATATAATATGTTTCATAACAGTAAATAGTAGTATCTTTTTATTTCTGGAAAGAACCTACTTGAATTATGCTCTTGATTACTATGTCAGTGCTGTTTTCTCAATTTCTTCCAATTGTGGGAGGTTGTTCCTCATAATGAAATTTCAATTCTTAATTGAATTTCCCAGTGAGTTACAGTGTAATTAGAGGCTGTATTAGAAATTACTTTCAGATTATCTCAGAAGTCCCCATCATAATATTGAACTCTTGCATATACTTCAGGTTCTGCAGGCTAAAGGGATGAGCACTGGAAAAGGTGTAGCTGAAAAGCTCTAGTGTGGACAGAATCATTGCATCTAAGAATGCATATTTCTAACCAAATAAATCTATTTTTTGTCGCCTTTTAGGTTGTCAAGATATTGCAGATGAATTTAGAGCACAAGAAATTGATGGACAAGCTCTCCTTTTGTTGAAGGAGGATCACCTCATGAGTGCAATGAATATTAAGCTTGGACCTGCATTGAAAATCTGTGCACGTATCAATTCCTTGAAGGAATCCTAGGAGGTGAACACGAAGGTTTAAACAACAGTTTCTCAGTGACAGAACTGACAGTAATATGCCAACATATTCACTGTGGCATGAGTGTTACTGTGATGTTTTGTTAAATTGATGGGGTTTTCCCCACATAAAGACTTAAAAACGTTCCTTTGATTATACCAAGTAGTCCTCTGTAGTTTTCAACAACTAATAGGTTCATGGTAAAGCCTGAGTAATATTTTGAGTTGAAGTTTTTCATGTAAAAACATGGAGTGAAATATGCTGTGATAGGTTAAATATTCCCCATCATGTACTTCATCTTATGAGTTTAAGGTTAACACCCCAGCCCCTACCCCAATCTAAACACCTTTTAGATTGTGTTGCTGTAATCTGAAAGATTTTCTTCCCACATACAGCAGTGTTTGGACTGAACTGACAGAAGTGTCCACAGGCCCTGTGGAAGCACTAGTACCAGTAAAATGCTATGCATTTAGTTGTGCTCTCTGAGTTTCTTTTAGTCTTGAGCTAATTGTTTGTAAGGGGTAGGTTGGCAGCTGACTTACCCTCATCTCTGCCACTATAGTATTTTCTTGAAGTCTGTAAAATACTATAAACCTTATAGATGTCTCATCAAAATCCTCATGATCAGGCTACTGACACTCCTGCCAGAGGTAACTGAAGCACATGTTACTTTACTCTGTGAATGCTGCTATGCACTAAGGGGGCATTAAGTGTTAGGTTTGTAGTTTCACATGCTGCTAGTTAAGCTAGACCAGCAGTTCTCAAATGGGAGATCAGAGTGGGCCCTGAGGAGGTGTGTGAGCCCTCAGAGTTCAGGTTCCCAAACGCCTGGGTGTGAGGGGCTGAACGCTGCAGCCAGAAACAGTGTTGAGACAAGTTACTGGAGAGGCTGGAGGTAGAGAAGGGACAGCACAGCTCAGATGTTCTTTTAACTGATACCTCTTCTGACATGTCTTTCCCTGTAGTGCATTCCCATTGGCCCACTGGAAGCTCCCAAGCACCTTTGTTTGTCCCCTGGCCGGTGTGAGCTGGGCTTGCAGGACTCTGAGGAAGGAGCACAGGGCATTGCTCCATGAGGCCCCTTCAGAGCTCGCTGTAGGAGCAGCTGCTGCTGGCATGAGGGAGCCCAGAGCTGTGGGTCAGCAGAAGGAATACCAACACTTGGCAGCTCTAGGAGAAATCTCCAGGGGCCCTGCTTTGTCCCTCTGGCAGGAGATTTTGTCTTGGATGCTGCAGATTTAGGCAGTGGGATTTTAGTGTCTCCCACCATTTTCCTTCTCACACTCTTTGTGGAACAAACACGTGTTTCCCCAGTTTCTGATGCTCTTGGGAGCTGCCTGAGCTCTGAGGCAGCAGCACCTTCTTGGCCTTTGCTTCTCCATCACCTGTGCACGGATGTTCATGGATGTATTTTGTACCTTCTGTGCCCTCCCTTTTGCAGCTCCACTCCCCTTGTGTACAGACCTGGATCCCTAAACTCTTGTGTAGGGAAAGAAGGGTACGTGTGCTGGTAGTTGTTGTGTATATTTGAATTAAATATGTGTACTTGTCTGCAAATAATGTATTTTGTATTTTATGCAAATTAATGCATTATATGTGATTGTGTAAGGAGGTATTCGGGAGGACTGTAAAGTATTCCTGCAAAAAGAGGAACTGACCTGAAGTTTGAGAACTGCTGCCCTAGATCAAAAGGAGTCAATGCACATACACTGGCTGAAAGGCAGGTTTGTGTATTATTATGTATAATATTTAACTGATGACTTTAAAGAGTAAATTGGGATTACAGAAAAATCTGTGCTTCATTTTCCTTTAATTAGACCATTACTTTGTTTCCACTAACAGACTTTCTATCCTTATCTTCTGGAGATCAACATTAGAATAATTGTTTTTAATTACAACTGTTTGAGCTTATTAATAGCAGATATTATCAATATTTTTATTAACCACTGAAGCTCCAAGTTAGGACAACCCATTGCTGTTACACATTGGTATGTGGTGAGAGCCCTTGTCCAAATGTCACCAAAGGCTTTAGAGAAGGAATTGATGCCTGGGTTTATTTCGGAGGGAAGTTGCTAAGCACTTTCTAATTTGTTTTTTCTGTCTTCGATTACTGTTGTAAAATAAACTTCTTAGTTGAAGGTCCAGCATTTGGCAATGTTCATCTGAAAGATGTTCAAATGATGGAGACAGTGTGTTCCCATTTGTAGCATTTCTGTAAGATACACAGTGTAGCATATCTGTAACATATGTTCTAAAGGATATGTTCTGTTTTGATGAGCTAATTGAAGACTAAAGATATCTTAGATATTTATCCTTTGGCTTTTGTCTAAAAGTTTTATTATTTTTATACGGAAAGTTCACTGGCTAATTTTTAATCTGTCTTCTGATTGTACTGTTCTTAGGCAATGTAAAAAGTAGGGCTGCACAAGTGTGGTTTGATAATGGCTTAAGGCATATTAGAAAATGTGGACTTAGGAGTCTTATTTAGACCTGCAGTTAATCAGTGTTACATGCATGAGAATTTCATGGCTGTTTTAATTTTGCTTTATTAGGCAGCTTTCAGGAGAGCTCCTCCAGCTTGTGTTTGTCCAACTCACTGCCAGGTGCCAGGAGCTCAGAGCAGACCCCAGAAAGGCACATCTGTTCCTGTTCTTCTGGTGCGTGACATTCCCTGTGGGTTTGGGAGAGCCACAGATAGTGAGTTGTGCTTTAAATATTTCTGAATGCAGCAGCTAAGAATGTGGGCCTTCTGCAGATTGGAAGTTTTTTCTCCCTCACTTATTTTGGTATTAAACTGGAACTTAAAAGCAGACACAGCTGTACCAACCTGTGCTGGTAGAATGCACTCCTGTGGGAGTGTTTGCCAGCATAGCTGTGTCAATAAAATCAGATTTAAAAAAAAAAGGCACACTTGTATGTGAAAATAGGCTGGAAAATTTCCAAGTGCAACTGAAGACTACTTCAGAAGCTTTTGAATTTACTCAAAAAAGCAATATAATACTTAGACTAATAGTCCTCCAGAACCATTTTACTTACCAACCACTTTTTGCTGTTCAAATAGGTGAGGTTTTCCCAGGCTTATACTACCATTTCCCATGGCTTTCCCACACATGAGGCTGGACCCCCTTGCAAACGAGGAAGTATTGCAGGTTTTAATTGACTGGTTTTTAGCACTTGCTCCCACTGGATGTATCTACAAGAAATCCTTTTAATTAACTTTATTTCCTGGGGTTTTGCTTTCTGTATTCAGACTTCTGCTGTTGTGGGCTACATCTCACAGTAATCCCTGCAGTATTTCAGTTCCTATGGGAAGAAATGCAGGATGTTATGGGATATTTGCTCAGAAGGGAGGTATTTTGCATGGCTTTTTCCCTTCCTTTTTCTTGAGTAGTCCCCATCCTACCCTACTCCTGAATGCAAACTGCAGCATTAGCTCAGGGCAAACCCTTTTACAGAGCACTGGGCTGAATGTGGCTGTCAAGATTTCATCCAGTAGAATTAGAATTATTACACTTGTCTCAGCTTCAGGGTTTATTTGGGGTTTTAAGGAAATACAGAGGAATGATCAAAATGGGTGCTCAGCCTCCCCTGCTTCATCTGGCTCACATCACTGAGCTTTGCAGCAGGAGCAGGGAACTCTGGTGAGGAAACTTGGCCACCTTGTCCCCGATCACCAGAGAGTGTTTGAAGGGTTTTTAGACAGACAGTTTTGTAAATCCCTTCTTTACCCATTAATCCATCGTATTTTTTCCAGAAAGGAAGTTCTGGATGGCAGGTAAAACCTTTGCTAGGTTTTTATCCCTGAGATATCTTAAATGGAAGGTTTATGTCCTGCAAACATCCATTTCCTCATTTCTTTCCTGTGAAAATATTTTTTTTTACCCCCTGACTTCTTTTTGGACAAATCACAGTTAGTAATCCAGCCTTTCAAATAGAAAGATGGAGTCTACCCTAAGTGCAGATGTGGCAGCAAGAGGAAAGGAATAGGATAAACCCAAGTATTTTGAGCAGGTCTGTGACAGCTGTAAGGGGAAACATTAGGAAAGGTGTGGGTTGAGTGGAAGTTTCTTATGAGGCTGGACTGGGTGTAGTGTGTCACTGCCTGGCATGCCAGCTAAAACTTATGCCTATTCCAGGTGACTGTTCTCATTTTAATATCACAGTATCATTGCAGGAACTTCCAGCTCAACAGCTTAACCGATTTCTTACACACTGACAAGTGCAGAGCTCTGAGTGATCAGAGAATTCGGTGACACCTTTTTTAGGAGTCCCCATTTTGCAAATAATTAGGCATTCACATAATTTATAACATGAGTAGTTCTGATTCTATTGAGACTATTCAAGTTCATTCAAAGTAAGCATGTATAAAAAAGCTTGCAGGGTTATTTTCTCACCAGTATTGCATAGAGATGTCCTGTTAGCATATATTTAGAAATATAGTTGTTATCATTGACCAAACTTCTACTCATGGATTGTTCCAGGCTGCAGATAATGACTCTGCAAAAGAATCAATCTAGGGTACTTTTTTTAAAATGTTCAACTTAATTAGTTTATTAGAGATGGAGACAAACTAACATTTCAGAGTATTTTGTTTTCAATACGTTGTTTCTGTTCAATGCTGAGTGGAACAGGTATGAGCAGAGCTATAAATGAGTAATTTCAATGTAAGCTGTTAGTTGCTCGTAGTGAGTTAATTTTCAAGTCATTCTTGCTCAGTGGGCTGCAGTTTGAGACAGGAAATATTGTGAGGAGAAAGAAATTTAAACTCATTTAATGCTTAGCTCATTTAAGATAACCCTAAATTAGGTTAATTTTAAAAGAATTTGCCTTTAGTCTTGAGAATTTATTTAGACCTGATCGGTTCTATGTAGTTACATCCCCTGAATGGCTTTGCAAATACTGACATTTAAACAAGAGGTGGTGATTATGGGCCAGACAAGTGCCAGCTGTGTCCTGCTTTATCCCCTGGGTCTCGTGGTCAGCACTTTCACATGTGCTCAAGGCCCCACCTTAAGCTGTGTAGGTTTGTGTAACCTCAGCATTAAAATCCCCACACACCTGCTCATTCCCTTGAAGGTTGTGTGCAGTATTTACTGATCCCTCACAGTGATGTGGAAGGAAAAAAGCAAAAGTTCAAAGTCGTGAATATGTTTTTCGTTGGAGGTATATAGGAAGCTCATATTCCAGCTTTTGTAGCCATGGATCTAACTTTTCCAGAGCGTGGTTCTGGGAGTCAGTGTTGTGAACAGATTTTAAGTTAAAAAATGTTAAACTTCCAGCATGTATTCCTTCTAAATTATCCAAAATAACTCTGTACAGCAAGGAGCTACAAAAAAGAGACTTAAAAAGATTTTTCCTCTTCAAGTAATTATAACTTGGGCACAATTGTACATTCATAGAATAGTGATCATAAATAATGTTTAAGTGCAATACATAACACTTAAGGAGCATTCTAATTGTGTTTTAAAAGCACTGTGTTGGTTCATAGGGTTGTTGAGAGGCTTGTAGTGTTGTTCCTAGTCCTAAATGAGGGTATGTGTGCTGATTATGGGATTAGGCTCCAAGCAGAGATGTAATCAATTCCTGAGGTGTATCTGCCCTGTGGATGAAGCCCAGGCAGCCTCTGGGAAGGATTGTGTTGTCCTCCATTACCTTGCCAGGATATTCCCATCCTCTGGCAGCCTTTTGCAAAGTCATTTTTGGAAAGAACAGTAAGAGATTCTGCACACTCAGCTTCATTTTTAAGTAGTCTTTGTGTCACGGAGTGAGCAAACCAGTACTGATCAGGAAAGGTGTAAAAATGAAGGGTTTTATCATTTAGTGCCAAACACTCAGAGTTGAAAAGACATAGAATATCTCATTAAAATCAGTGTTGATTTGTAAGACATTCTCTATATGAGGAAAGTACAGAAGTTTCTCATTAAGGGTTAACACTTTGGCTGCTCTTACCATTAATATCAAATAATCCTACAAGAATTAAAGGCTGTAAAATATTTGAAATGTGTAAGGCTGATGTACAGAGGAGATGCAGCAGTGGTTGTCTGCAGTTCTTTTATTTCAGGTATTACCACCATCCTGGCATAGTTTCTGTCCTTCCTGGCAGTGAAACTGTCACCTGTTCTAGAGAGGAACATGGTCCAGGGCTGCATGGCTGGATCCAGGGATCAGTGTTGGGACAGCCCAGAGGCACCAGGTGTAAAAGAAAATTCACAGAGGAAAAGCCATAATTGCTAGGAAGGCAATAAATAGGATGGAGATCACTGCACAACTGGTATCTCCCTCCATGAATAACAAGGATGGAAGTGGGCTTACAAAGGGAGGTACCATGAATATGTTTTAAAATACTCACTCGGGCTCAGACGCCCCAGTGGATGCTACGTGGAGAGCTGCAGTGCCACTGCTGCCACAACAGCCTGAAGGCTGATGCTCTTTGGCACTTTCCCCTAAAAGTATGGAAGAATAAATTTAACAGTAACATCAATCCATTAATGTTTGTTTTGGCTGCATGTTGTGGATTCCCTGTGGGGGAAAAAAAATAGAGTTTTAAAAACTTCAAATGGCTTTAGGAGCATTGCAGCAACTCTGGCAATTCTGCCGTGTTGTGTGAACTTTAATTAGGGGTTGGGCAGCTGAACCACACTGATAAATAAAACACCCCAACAGCCTCACCCAGCTTGTTGTAGTTCCAGTTTTGTGTATGTTTGTGAATCAGAGACCATGAGACCATGCAAAACACACCTGAAATGGACTGGAAAATAACTTTGCCTTCATCTGGTGTTAAATTAATTTTAAATGAGGAATTTCTCCCTGCCTGCCTAGTCTGTAGGAATTAGTTATTTCATTATCTTCTGAAATGCCTGGTGCATTACTGTATTTGAGGTATTTGCTGGTTTTTAAATGGAATTAGGTTTTGTAAATATTTTGTCAGCCCCGTTTCAGTGGGTGTCCAGTTTATATAAAACCTGAAGAAATGCTGTGTCAAAACCTTGTGTTTAGCCATGGTTATCCTATAGCATCTCCTGCACTGACAGCAATTGCAGTTTGAGAGAGTGGGGAATGATTGCTTAAGGTTGTTTTTCCAGTTAACATTGTATGTGCTTTCCCACTTTTAACATGGAAGTAGAATTTCCTCCAAGTACGTTTTCCAGCAGAAAAAAATGAAATAATTTGTGGTGCCAAACACTTCAAAATATGTTGCTAAGTGTTGCCTCCTCTTATTGCACTAGTTTTAAAATTCAGTTTTTGATCACTTACTGTCCTTTTGATGGCCTTTTTAACAGATTTTCCCCCCAAACCACTTTCTACTCCTGAAAAATGCTTGTGTCCTTTTGATTACATCATGGAAGCCTCAAAGGAATTTACCCCAGACTGTGGGTGAAAGAAGCACTATGTGGGGTGAAGTAATAAAAGAAAATAATCAGACTTTAATAGGTTTCAGAAATGTAAGATTAATTTATGATTCAGATGTGATTGTGTATTCTTATGGAGTGAAATACTGGAATATTCTTTTATAAGAAATTTTAGCCCACATAGCGTTAAATTCTGCAATTAAATCTATCTCTATAATTGATATATAATAATGTAAATTATAACCCAAAAATTTAAATTTTACAGTGGAAGAGCACACAGTGAATTATGTAAAAGTATGATCTTCACTTTGTGAGTCATTTTTAAGAAGCACTTTCCTATTACCAACTAGCATGTGAATGAATTTTAGATTTTCTCATTTGTTATGATCTGTAGAAGTGAAACTTCTTTAATCTGTCTGTTAATGGGTAAATCCATCCTACAAATGCTGAAACAAAGCACCTTATACTATGCTGCTTAAACTTGCTTGTAATTGCACCTTTTGTTATCTGCAGAGTTTTCTTAATGAGTATTCTTGTGTGAAATCATTGTTCCCTGTGGGTCTGGGGGAATGATTAACCAACCTACAGCATCATTTAGTTTCTCTTCCAATACAACATTGTATTGTGAGTTCAGTGCTTCAGAAATAAATGCTACTTTCATTTGTCTGCTTGGGTTGCGTATCATTTATTTCTCTTCTACAAAATTAAACCAAGTCCTTTATAAAACAGTAAGAATTTGGAAATTAAGGGTATTTTTGCTCGAAGCCTGACTAATTCTTTCCCTACCATAGTCACCCTTCATATTTAACTATTTTAAAGTAGTTTTGACTTCAAAATAAACTGTATTTTAATTTAAGCCATTCTTTAGCCTTGGGCATGTATTTATATATAGCAATTAACCTTGTTGCTTAGGTCTCTGACTGTAGTAATTTAATTTTTAATATGTACTTATACATTACAGGAGCAGCAGCAAAGAAACAGCGAAGCTTCAGCACCTCTGCTGTGGCTGTGGAAGTTGCACATCTTGCACTGTTTTTGTACCATGTAAAGTTTCTATTTCTGTAGGAGCTGTAGCTTTACATTAACTAAAAAAATTTATTTCTTGTTAGACAACAACCCTTAACTTCAGTCAAGATGACACAAAGCCAGACTTTAAATACACTTCAAAAAAATCACAGAAGTTGTTTGAACTTTGGATCAGCACCTGTATGTAGCTCCAGCCTTGAAGACTTTATTGCATTTTGTACTGTAAAACCTGAGATCATTCCATGTGAAGGAAATGTAAAATTCTGTCATAAACATGAGATTTAACAGAAAACTTGGCTTATATAAGCAGTGGTCTTTTAAACATGTAATCTGAGGTTGAATCCCGTGAACTGACAGCGCTTGCAGTGCACTGGGACCAGTGTCCTGCACTCCAGTGCAACATTCACTACAATATTGGCCTTCTTCCCATGGAGTGTAGCTCTGGAGCTGTTTCCTTGTGTTGTCTGTAAGGACCCAGCCACAGAACCTCAGCGCCCACACTTATTGCAGCCTTTCCAGCCAGCAGCTCATTAACAGATGACAATCACCACACCCGGCTCATCAGCTGGCTCTGTGTTTTCATTGTCAAAGGGCACAAAGCAGAATTTCCAGCTGACAAATGGGTCTGAGCTCCATGTCCCCTCTGCCAGCTCCACCTCGTGGCACCGGCACCAGTACACGGCTGCCAGGAGGAAGCTGTTGATGAAGTACAGCCAGGGCACGTTCATGTCCACGTAGGCCGGAATCTGCGCTCCCAGGAACACAACCAGGACCTGGAGAACAACTAAAGGTGCCCAAGTGCCAAGAAAGCAGATGAGGAGTCTGCTCAGGAGCTGCCACTTGAAGCAGGTGGTGGTGTTGGACGTGTAGGGGAACATCAAAGCAGGCTGACTGGAGATGGAGACGAGCCTGGCAGACAGCAGGGTGCTCACCATGTCCTTCCAGCGAGCCAGGAGAGCAGTGCCCAGGAGCAGCACCATGGCACACGAGACTGAGTAGCTCTGCAGGCTGGCAGAGACAGGGCACTGGTAAGGAGAGACACTCTTCTGAATTTCCAGCTCTTCATAGACAGCGGGAACTTTCAGAATACAGAAAAACCCTGAAATCCATATAATCACCACAGCGAACACGTACAGTGATTTCTGGCCTCTTTTAGAGAACGGGGATGTCTGGGAGACAGTGGTGTAATAGTCCAGAGCAGCCACGAGGTACACGGGGTAGTGCAGAATCCCGCAGGTGAGAGAGGTGATCTGGGTGAAGAGGCAGATGTGGTACTTGGTGAACCGCATCCCCCAGAGCGCAAAGTCCTCAAAACAGAAAATGAAACAGAAGATCAGCAGCAGCGTGAGATCGAGAAGTGCCACTGAAATGCAAAAGTATCCCATAAAACTGGCTTTCACGTTTTTTGGCTTAACTTGCAACATGAAGAAATCAAGGAAGACTTTTCCGAGCATGATCAGGAGCAACACGCAGCTGGTTTCAAGAGTTTGGTTGCCGTGGGTGCAGCGGTACTGACCAGAACCATTTTCACAGAGTCTGGCAGCCATCCTCCAGTGGTAAAAACAGCAGAAAGTGTCACAGGGCACAGTGCTTCATCTCTGAAAAGGAAAAAGTTAACTGGAGTTAGTGCACGTTTGAGTTGGTGTGTCCTGAAAGACAGAGTTGGAGCAACTACAAGTCCTTGGCAGTACAGCTTGAGAAGTATCAACAGATACACAGATACGCGTTTACAAGCCTACCTGGGCTCAGCGCTTCACCCTCTATCGGCTCAAGTGCATCCTCTGACACCTGATACGTCTCACAGAACGACTTAATTCCGTCCATGTTTCGTCTTCACGTACCGGAGGCTGCGCTCCTGTCCGCGGAAAAGGAAACCTGCACGAGAACAGGGTCCCGCTCGGTAAGTGTCTAATAACAATAACAATAACTTATATACTGTACCGCGGAATCACCATCCAGGCTGTGCGGACCCGGCTGCCCTCACAACCCGCACCCTGCGCACGGAGGGACCGGCGCTGCCCGCGCCTCCTCCCGGGCGCTTTCCCGGCCGCTGCCCCCCCCCTACCCGGCGGGATCCTGCTGCTTTCCCCGGGGGACAGGGGGGAAGGGAGGCGAGCCGAGGGTGGCTCCAAGGGCTGCTTCTGCTCCCACGCCCGGCCCGGCACCCACCTGCGGCCGCCGCTCCTGCCCGCGCCATCGCCTCCTCCCGACGGGGACGGGCGGGCGGGGGCGGGACGGGGCGGGATCGTGTCCAGGGAAACGTAACTTAACACACATCACACATCCAACAGATAACATGTAGCACATATAGCACAACACAGCCGCCCCGAGGAACAGCTTTCGTGCGTTGTGTCTGATCCCCCGGCCGAGGGAGACAAAGCGCCCCGTGGTACCTCAGCGCCATGGGGCTCCCAAATCCTTATGGATGTGGCAGGGAAACGCTTTGAGTTCTAAACGTGTTATGTGGGGGAGCGGGGGGGAAAGGCTTTGGCGAGGGGTGAGGGCGCTTCAGCGGGAGCCTTCCGAACCCCCGTGACTTGGCTGCACGGCAGGGAGCACAGGATGCTTCCCTTTGGGAAGCCGTGAGTCCACATGGTGGGTGTTGTTTGATGTATCCAAGTGTACAAAATGTCAAGTGGCTGGGAGAACTTTCTCTGAAAGCAACTAACTCTCTGGAATTAAATTCAGATATAAGTAGAGATTTCCCCCCCCCCCTTTTTTTTTCCCTTTCTCCTTCCATGGTTTATCTGAAGGATTAAATAACTTCACAGGGAGAAAAAAAAGTGATCGGTACTGTGAAAAACGTGAGAGCTTCAAGTAATCTCCAGCAGCATTCACACCTGCAATAGTTACTTGTCCAAACCATTTTTCCCAGGATTGTTGCACAAATTGGAGTATAATAATTTACACCTGAGAGGGTATTGCACCTTCTGAATACTCAGTCCACCCACAAGTATCTGAAGGCTAATGCCTTCAAGAGTAGTTTTCTTCTTAGTTCTAACCCAGGGCAAAGCAGTGAAAGTGATTTTCCCCGTGGGAGCTAACAAACCGTTTGGATGCTTCTGTTGGATGTTTTGGTTTGTCTGTGTTCATGTCTGTCGTTATGACAGCAGAAAATACTCTACTGGCCTGTATGGGGAGATGCCTGGG